CCTTTGTGTAATAGCTCTGGCTGTCATTTTGTAGACCAGGCTGGCCTCACATCCACAGAGATACACTGTGCCCAGAAAGCCCACCAAAATCTTAAAACTCCTACCTTCCCAAAGATTTGGTTTATCACCTACATTCAGATTCATTTAAGTTGAATATCCTAGCTTTTACTGGTGTTTTATTTTGTTGTTTGTTTTTGTTTTGGGGTTTTTTTTTGTTTGTTTGGTGTTTTGTTTGTTTGTTTTTGGTTTTTGAGACAGGGTTTCTCTGTGCAGTTTTGGTGCCTATCCTAGATCTCGCTCTGTAGACCAGGCTGGCCTCAAACTCACAGAGATCTACCACCACCACCACCGTCCGGCTTATTTTGTTTTAAAACAGTGTCTCATACAGCCTAGGCTGGCCTTGAACTTCTTAGCCAAGAATGACCCTGAATTTCTCATCCTCTTGCCTCCTACATCACTGCCTCCCTGCTGCTGGGTTTACAGGCATGTATCACACCTAGTTTCCTGGTTTTGAACCCACCCTTTCCCTCTACTTATCAACCCTCAGACCCTCTGGACTCTTTCATTAATCCCTTGCCTTCTGAGACTATCATTGTTCTCATGAGAGGTGCTTTATCCAACTAAGCTACACAGTCACCTGACTACCATTGTTTTTAACGGGTCATAACACTACCCAAGGCAGCCTATTTGTTTTTGTTTTTTTGTTTGTTGTTTTTGTTTTTGTTTTGCTATGACCAAATATCTAACAACAACAACAAAAAGCAACGTATAGAAGGGTTTGTCTTGTCCCGCAGTTTGAGAGGTTATAGTCTACCATGGCTAGAAGGCTTGGAGGTGCTGGTTGCATCACTTCTGCATTCAGGGGTCAGAGGGATGGCTACTGATGCTCACTCACGTTGTGTCACTTGTAGCTAGAGTTTTCCTGCCTTGCCCACAGTCAGGACAAATTTTTGTCACCCGCCAGTCCCACAGCCGCTCAGACCCAGCCAAGTAAACACAGAGACTTATATTGCTTACAAACTGTATGGCCGTGGCAGGCTTCTTGCTAACTGTTCTTATAGCTTAAATTAATCCATTTCTATAAATCTATACCTTGCCACGTGGCTGGTGGCTTACCAGCGTCTTCATATGCTTCTTGTCCTGGCCGCGGCTGGCAGTGACTCCTTCTACCTTTCTGTTCTTTCTTTTCTCTTCTCTGTTAGTCCCACCTATACTTCCTACCTAGCCACGGCCAATCAGTGTTTTATTTATTGACCAATCAGAGCAACACATTTGCCATACAGACCATCCCACAGCAGTCACTCTGCTTCTTGTATTCACTCTGGGGCCCCCAGACCATACCCACTGCATCTCTTCTCTTAATTAAACCTGGAGATGCCATCATGGACACTCCCAGAAGGGTGTCTTCTGGAAGATTTCAAGTGTAGTCAAGTTGGCAATGAAAATTAACCATTATAACCTTTCACTTCAATGTTTTTGGTTTACACAGTGATACCTGATGTGTCTCTAAGTTCTCTATTAAAAAATAAAAACATAGGTATATTGGCATACACACATAATTCCAGGACTTGAGAAGCTAAGAAAGAATTCCAGGTCTGCCTGGGCTACATAATGAGTTCCAGGCTAGCCTGGGCTACAGTGTAAGACTCCCATCTCAAAAAACAAAACAAAAAAAGTGGGCCAGCAAGATAGATCAGTGATTAAAACAGCTTGCTTGAACCTGAACATATACACATACATACAAATAAGACTGAAAGATGATGTGTCTTGTAACTTACCAAGTTAAATACAAGTTCTCTCCAATTACTACAACCTAACTTTTCAGTAATAGATGCCTTTCCTCCCCTATGGTTTCCTGGAGTCCAAGCTTTTTTTTTTTTTTTTTTTTTTTTTTTTTGGTTAGCATATCTCAAAATTCTCCAGTTAGAATTATCCTATACAAAATGGTTTCTTTCCTTACCATAATTGCCTTTCTTCCAGTGCAGAACCAAACCCAGATCATTAAGCATGATACTTCTTAAATACTTCACTACTGAAGTATACACCACAAATTTTCTATTTCTTTACAATTTTTATTTATTTTTGTTGTTTTTTTTCAAGACTGGGTTTCTCTGTGTATCCCTGGCAGTCCTATTTTCTTTCAAGTGAAATTATTTGTATGTTTTTATTTTTATTTATTTATTTATTTATTTATTTTTGGTTTTTTGAGACAGGGTTTCTCTGTGTAGCTTTGCGCCTTTCCTGGAGCTCACTTGGTAGCCCGGGCTGGCCTCGAACTCACAGAGATCCGCCTGGCTCTGCTTCCCGAGTGCTGGGATTAAAGGCATGTGCCACCACCGCCAGGCGTATGTTTTTATTATCTTCAGAAATATTGACAATCATAAACTCAAGTTCTCTCTAGGCCACAGAGTGAGTCCAAGGCCAGAATGGACAACTTAAGATACTTTCTCAAACTAAAAAGAGGACTGGGGATATACCTACTAAAGTAGTTGCCATCACCAGGCAATGGCAGTGCATGTCTTTAATCCTAGCATTGGGAGTCAGAGGCAGGTGGATCTCTGAGTTTGAGGCCAGCCTGGTCTACATAGTGAGTTCCAGGACAGCCAGGGCTACTCAGAAAAATCATGTCTCCAAAGACAAAACAAAACAACAAAATGTGTTACCATCCTCATCTACCCAGCTTTTCCCCAAAGGACACTGCAGTATCACCAAACGCTTGTATCTTGGGATTTTTTTTTCCTTTTTAATTTTTATTTCATGTGCACTGGTGTTTTCCCTGCATGTATGTCTGTGTGAGGGTGTCAGATCCTCTGGAACTAGAGTTACAGACAGTTGTGAGCTGCCATGTCGGTGCTGGGAATTGAACCCAACTCCTGTGGAAGAGCAGCCAGTGCTCTTAACTGCTGAGCCGTCTCTCCAACCGCTGAAGGGGTTGTTTTTGTGTTTGCTTTCTGAGACAGGATTTCTCTGTATAAAGTGAGTCTCTTTTCAATTAAAGGCTGCTGGCAGCCAGCCGTTCCGATTCACCCTCAGAGCATGTCCAACTCCTCCTTGTTCTAGGAATTTATCAGAACCACTGGGGTAGATATTAGGACAAACAGCTGTTTTTTAGAAGGACTTTGACCTTGAAGAATCCTTGTGGAAAACAGTGATTGTTTGGCTGAAGGGGCTTTGCGGCCATCCCGTGGCTTTGCTCACAAGACGGCTCAGGCACACCTGAGAATCCTGTCTTAGTGTATATTGCACACGATACAGAATAAAGACTAGTGTCATGGGGGCATGTGATGCTCTCCTTTAGAAGTCATATAAATTGGGCTAGAGAGATGGCTCAGAGGTTAAGAGCACTAACTGTTCCTCCAGAGGTCCTGAGTTTAATTCCCAGCACCCACGTTGTGGCTCACAACCATCTGTAATGAGATCTGGTGCCCTCTTCTGTGTACATAATAAATAAATAAATCTTTAAAGAAGGAGAAGGAGAAGAAGAAGAAGAAGAAGACATGTAAATTAATTAGGGATCTTGGTATGAGGAAATACTTCAATCAGTAATATGCTTTTGTACATCTGTTCAGGGTTCAGAGAGGCTGGACCTTCCTCCTGCCACATAGGCCTCAAAATTTCATCTTAGAGTGCCTTCTTGCTTCAACTGATCTGTGCTACACAGTGCACCCCAACACCTCCTTCTCTCTGTCCCGCGTCCCCCCCACCCCATGACTTCACACATCTGCTTTGGGACCTGAATACCTCCCACCACCACCACCCTGCCCCCACCCCCTGCCGAAGCAGGTCTTCGGCAGAAATTACTTGTGTGTGTGTGTGGGTGAGGGGCTCTGGCGTGCCTCAGTACACTTGTGGAGGTCAGAGGACAACTTCAGTTGTCTCTCCGTGTGGATTAAACACATTAGTGATTAACTCCAAGTTACCAGTAATGTGTTGATTTTGCATTAAGAAATCAAAGCACTTCCCGTTTGGGGTCATTTAACCAAGAGTAAGTCCAGATTTGGATTCTCCCCTTCCTGTTCCCTGTGTCTTTCATCCTGTCTGTTGAATGAGCCTGCGTCTGTGCCTGCCTGAAGGCTGTCGTGTGAATCTGTTTCTGAATCTGTCTCTGATAAAGGGCTTTGCTGTCTTTCCTGAACAGCATGGAAAGCATCCCATGGGGAAGGACTATGGAATACTTACCAGAAACCTTTACCAGAACTTCACAAGGGCTTATGTCATTGACTCCAAAGACCCCAGCTGACCCAGATAACAATATTACAAACATCACTGTTTATCATCCAAATTTTGTGTCACAACGTTTATGGTGGATCTTCGTTTTAGAAAATTGCTTTCAACCTCTGTTTTTGCTGCTTTCAGCAAATGATACACAGGCACTATGGGTCATAGGCATGGAAGAGTACCTAACTTAAGTTTATAGCTATATATTGGCTTAGAATGTAAAAGTTGATTATGTGAAAAATCCAAGGCAAGTAGGTTGGTTGTTATATTGTTCTCTTAAAGGCAAGTTAAACAGTCTGAGTAGGTTATCAGTCTTAAGTGACATAAAGCGTATTGTTAACTGGCTGTGCGGTCCAGCAAAAGTTCCAGTCTCTTAGAATGTAAGAGGTATTTTCATAACATTGCATCAACATACTTTCCTTCTACCATGTGAGTCCTGGGAAGAGAACTCAGATTATCAGGCTGGACAGCAAGCCATTTCGTTCTCTTTTTAAAACAAAACAAGGCTGGGCAGTGGTGGCAAACACATTTAATCCCAGCACTTAGAAGGCAGAGGAAGGCAGATCTCTGTGAGTTCGAGGCCAGCCTGGTCTACAGAGTGACTTCGAGGACCACCAAAGCTACACAGAGAATATCCTGTCTCAAAAAACCAAACCAAACCAAATAAAACACAGGAGCTCTATTTAGCCCAGATTGGATTCAAACTCATGATCTTCTTGCCTCAGCCTCCTAAATGTTAAGATTACAGATATGTGATTAACGCAGAGGACTGTTCCCCACAGGTGTGGTCTCCAGTGCCCACCGTCTGTCATCATGCCTCGGAAAATTGAGGAAATCAAGGACTTTCTGCTCACAGCCCGGCGGAAGGGTGTCAAATCTGTCAAGCTCAAGAAGAACAAGGATAATGTGAAGTTCAAGGTTCGCTGCAGCAGGTACCTTTACACCCGGGTCATCACAGACAAGGAGAAGGCTGAGAAGCTGAAGCAGTCCCTGCCCCCTGGTTTGGCAGTGAAGCAACTGAAATGAACCAGACCTCTCTGTTTTGACCATTGAAACCCCTGAAAAGTCAAAAAAAAAAAAAAAAAAAAGATTACAGATATGTACTACCTTCTATGACTAGGGTTCACTCCTGAACATTCTATGTTTGGACACATGTTTATGACATATATTCTCTTAGCTCTTCACAATTACTAATCTTTACAGTTTTAATTTGTATTTTAGTTTATTATTTCACATGCAAGAGTGTTTGCCTGTATATATGTGCATTATCCTTATTCAGTGCCATGGAGGTCAGAAGAGAGCAGTAGACTCCCTGGAACTGGAGTTAAATATGGTTGCAGTCCATCATATGGGTGCTGGGAACTGAACTTGGGCCCTCTGCAAGGGCAACAAATGCTCTTAGTCACTGAGCTAACTCTTCAGTCCCTGATGTTTACTGTTTTAGAGTACATTCACTGTACAAAGCAGTGGGTTTCATTTAAATGCATCCCATGCTGCATTCCTAGTACTCAGAGACAGATGCAGAAGATCTCGGGTTCTAGGTCAGCCATCAGAGAAGACAACAGAAACACAGACAAGAGAGGCTTGTCTTTCCATGTTTACTCTATAGGGCCCTCCCATGAAGCAGCGTTTGGGGTGCTCCGCTGAGTTTTGGTTGGAGCCCTTCCTGTTACATGCTCAGCTGGCAACATGGAGTGGTAGGAGAGGTACAGGCAGTTCTGTACTTGCTAAACTGGCTCATCATATACAATCAGATTCTGAGGTAAGGAGAATTTGTGGATTTGATTTGATTTTCTAAGATAGGGTCTCATGCTGGATGGTGGTGGCACACACCATTAATCCCAGCACTTGGGAGGCAGAGGCAGGCGGATATATACTGTGAGTGCCAGGACAGCCTGGTCTACAGAGTGAGTTCCCGGAATACACAATGAAACACTGTCTTGAAAAACAAAACACAAATCCCAGCAGTTGGGAGGCAGAGGCAGGAAAATACTGTGAGTTCTGGGACAGCAAGAGCTACACAGAGAAACCACATCTGGAAAAAACCAAAACCAAATCTACCCCCCCCCCCCAAAAAAAAGTTAGGGTCTCACTGTTTAGCTCTGGATGGCATTGAACTCTTAAGATTCACCTACCTCTGTGGTGATATATTGTGTACCCTAATAAACTTTGCCTGAAGACCAAAGAAGCAGAGCAAGCCACAGCCACCACCTCTTACCTCACCAACTCCTCAGCCTGAAAGGCCTCAGCCAATAGGCCTCTAGCCAAATGAGCTTTCTCGGCTGAAAAGGCTTCTAGTTCCTGTCTCCTCAGGTCTTATAAATCTTTCTAGGACCACCATATCACTTCCTTCTTAGTGCTGGGATTAAAGGCATTTGGTCTCTGACTATACATTAAATGGTCTGAAAATGGAACAATGAAATGAGGAGATAATTAATGTTGATAGGATAGATGTAATATCAATTATAAATATTATGTTTGATTATTTTTGTTTTATGATTTAAAAAGTTGGTTAATATGAATGCCAAGATAAAAGTTTTAGAAAAACTTGTTAAAACAGATCATAGAGATACTCAAACCCAGACAGACGAATTTAAAGGAGAACCAATCTCAACATTGCATTATAAGGTTACAGAGAAACAGCCTAAGGCTTTCAAACAGCCAACCTTAATCTATCCAGTAACCTTACAGGAACTACCCAGTGATAAACATCCTCAAGGCTGTGTAAGAGCTGATTGGACTCCTGTACAAATGTTAGATTTGAGGAGATTCAAAGAAGCAATAGTCACATATGGCATCCACTCATCTTTCGTGAAGCAGATGTTAAACTTGTGGTCAACTTGTAATAGAATTATCCCTCAAGACTGGAGAGATTTGGTTGCAGCTGTCTTAGAAGCTAGCCCCCAATTACAATGGAGGACCTGGTGGAAAAATGAGGCTAAGACCATTGAACAATGGAGTATGGCTAGAGGTATTGAAATTTGCCAAGATGAACTTCGTGGAGAGGGCAATTATGTTTATATACAAAGACAATCTTTATATGATGACCACACCCTATCTTTATGTTGAATGGCAGACTTGAATGAATTGGGACAGAACTGAAGAAGTAGGAAAGAAAATTGAATCATTTTCAAAAGTTATACAGGGTCCAAAAGAAACCTTCACTGGGCCGGGCGGTGGTGGCGCACGCCTTTAATCCCAGCACTCGGGAGGCAGAGCCAGGAGGATCTCTGTGAGTTTGAGGCCAGCCTGGGCTAC